TGGCCTCTGGATAAAAGTGTCTGCTAAATGGCAGATATCAGTACAGTGGGTAGTATTAGTTGTTGACCTGTGTGCCGGGGCAGTTGATGTCCACGGGGTCGCTCCACTCTGGAGATGTCTGCAGGTCGCTGGGCTGCAGACTGGAGCCAGGGGGCATGTCAGGGTTAGGACTGGTCTTCAGCAGCAGGGTGGGTAGAGGCTCTCTCTGTCTGCAGTCAGGGAAGCTGGAGTAGTGGTGGTAAAGTCCATGGTGGAGGGAGGAGTTAGCAGGGAGGGGGCGGCAGTACACCTCTGTCCTGGGGGATTCTGGGGGACAAATGGTCAACAGTTAATTGATGTTATTTGACCATTTAAAAAAAAGACATTCACACAGTACATACATTTTAAAACATGTCTAGGTTAACACAATAAAGTAAATTACTTAAATGATATGGATACAGTTGAGAGTTGATTGAGGAACAACAGTCAGGAACAACTCAGGGCCCTATGTACCTGGAACCAAAAAGGGTTCCGCTATGGGGTCAGCCAAATAACCATTTTGGAACCCTTTTTTCTAAGAGTGTATGGAACAGTGGATTCGTGGTCCTCTGTAGCTCAATTGGTAGAGCATGGCGCTTATAACGCCAGGGTAGTGGGTTCGATCCCCGGGACCACCCATAAAAATGTATGCACATATGACTGTAAGTCGCTTTGGATAAAAGCGTCTGCTAAATGGCATATTATTATTATTATTATTATTATGTACCAGGTTGGAGGTGTAGTTTTAACACCGTGTCTGAGGTTGGCAGGAGGCATAACAGTGTGTGTGTGTGTGTGTGTGTGTGGCCCTACCCTTGACATTCTCCCTGAGCAGCATAGAGAGAGGGGTCTGGTTGTGGATGAGCATGTGAGGACAGGGGTCTTCATTCAGCGTGACGTAGGTGATACCCAGGTGTTCCTGATACGTCATCACCAAAGCTCTGGAACAACCAAACACTGAGTCATTTAACCACCAGCAGCACACCCAGCATCCCTCTATCCCCCACTAAGCCCAGATGCCTGCATGGTAGGGCCCTGATTGGAGGCAGGGCTGCATGGTAGGGCCCTGATTGGAGGCAGGCCTGCAGGGTAGGGCCCTGATTGGAGGCAGGCCTGCATGGTAGGGCCCTGATTGGAGGCAGGCCTGCAGGGTAGGGCCCTGATTGGAAGCAGGCCTGCAGGGTAGGGCCCTGATTGGAGGCAGGCCTGCAGGGTAGGGCCCTGATTGCAGGCAGGCCTGGGGAGGGAGGGACACGCACGGACGCGCACACACACACACACACACACACACACACACACACACACACACACACACACACACACACACACACACCACACACACACACACACACACACACACACACACACACCACACACACACACCACACAAACTCTCACACACACCACTCACACCACCACCACCACACACAACACATAGAGACACACACGACAGAAGGAAAACACAGCTGCATGAAAGAACAAAGACTGAAATCTGTGTTGTAACCCATGTTGTAAAATCACTTCTAACTCATGTGCCCAATTATGAAGTAGGAGGACGTTCTTTTCTGTTTTCTTTGAGAGGAAAGCTGTCCAACAGTGTCCTATAAGAGCCTGTGTTTAGGCCACCCACCGAGAGAGGATAGAGAGATGAGATAAACAGACAGAGGTTGAAAGCGAGCGTAGAATTGAAATGAGAGGACATCCTTTGTGCTCCAGTGCCATGTTTTAACAGGGCATGACCACTAGGCTCTGTGCTATATGTCCCGTAGCCAGGGTCTGTTCTCTCTGTGTCCTGTAGTCACTCTGTTCTACCAGGGTCTGTTCTCTCTGTGTCCTGTAGTCACTCTGTTCTACCAGGGTCTGTTCTCTCTGTGTCCTGTAGTCACTCTGTTCTACCAGGGTCTGTTCTCTCTGTGTCCTGTAGTCACTCTGTTCTACCAGGGTCTGTTCTCTCTGTGTCCTGTAGTCACTCTGTTCTACTAGGGTCTGTTCTCTCTGTGTCCTGTAGTCACTACCCACTCTGCTCTGCTCCACTCTGTTTCACCCACCTGGTGCTCAGGCCACTGCTGCTGCAGATCTCCCCAGGGACGGCCACACTCTGCCTGGGGAAGTCAGGTCTGATGGGGGCCGGGAGGCTCCAGGACCCAGGCCCAGCTACAGGCCCAGGGTCCGGGGTGGGCAGGCAGCTGAACAGCATGTGTCTGGTTGGTAGAGTAGACTGAGGGGTCTCCCACTCCCCCTGTACCCCCTTTCTTAGCAGATCCCAGCAGGCCACAGAGACCGGTCTGGAAGGTGTCTTCTCTCCGGCTGGAGCCAGGCTGAACACTGCTGTTTCTGGGAGGGAACAGGCCTAGAGAAGAGAGGAGACTACGTCATCTCCCAGACTGTAGTCTAACATTACTGTGCCATTCTTCCCAGAGAGCTCAGGTCTAAACTGGTAGCAGGGTTCAGCATGCTGAGAGCAGTGAGTCGTTTGGTTCAGAGGGGGTTAGGCACTAAGCATGATGAATAGCCAACTAGAAAGACTGCTGTTGTTTGTGGTCTGTGTTATTGTTAAGCCGTCACAGTCCATTTTTGAAGGTTCTTTTTCAAACAATTAGTGGCAACTGGTAACCTCTGCCATCGTCTTCTAGGAGGATCTGAAGGCTTGTTAAATGACATCACTGTGTTGTTCTTGGGGACGTGTCTGAGATGAAAGCACAAACCTGCATCCAATTCATGGTGTTTCTCTAATGTGTCTGGGCTGAGTGCCATGGTCACATGGTGAGACTGGCAGAGTGGGGACAGAGGGGAGCAGGGGGAGTGTGTGTGTGTGTGTGTGTGTGTGTGTGTGTGTGTGTGGCAACATGAACTGATGGGAAACAAGCCTCTCTGCTCTCCACAGTCACAGAGCAGTGGTTCTCAATCCGATAGGAGGGCACATTTTGGTTTTTGCCCTAGCACTACACAGCTGATTCCAATAATCAAAGCTTGATGATGAGTTGATCATTTAAATCAGCTGTGTAGTGCTAGGGGCAAAAACCACAATGTGACCCCCTTGGGGTTGCCAGCACCAGGATTGAGAACCACTGCCCTAGAGGCTGGGGATTCTGCACTCTATAGGACAGGGTGTAGGGGTGTTACCTGGTCTGTGGTCCCCAGTGCGTGGTCAGACAGTAGGGGTCTATAGGACAGGGTCTAGGGGTGTTACCTGGTCTGTGGTCCCCAGTGCGTGGTCAGACAGTAGGGGGTCTATAGGACAGGGTCTAGGGGTGTTACCTGGTCTGTGGTCCCCAGTGCATGGTCAGACAGTAGGGGTCTATAGGACAGGGTCTAGGGGTGTTACCTGGTCTGTGGGTCCCCAGTGCGTGGTCAGACAGTAGGGGTCTATAGGACAGGGTCTAGGGGTGTTACCTGGTCTGGTGTCCCCAGTGCGTGGTCAGACAGTAGGGGTCTATAGGACAGGGTGTAGGGGGTGTTACCTGGTCTGTGGTCCCCAGTGCGTGGTCAGACAGTAGGGGTCTATAGGACAGGGTGTAGGGGGGTGTTACCTGGTCTGTGGTCCCCAGTTGCGTGGTCAGACAGTAGGGGTCTATAGGACAGGGTGTAGGGGTGTTACCTGGTCTGTGGTCCCCAGTGCGTGGTCAGACAGTAGGGGTCTATAGGACAGGGTGTAGGGGGTGTTACCTGGTCTGTGGTCCCCAGTGCGTGGTCAGACAGTAGGGGTCTATAGGACAGAGTGTAGGGGGGTGTTACCTGGTCTGTGGTCCCCAGTGCGTGGTCAGACAGTAGGGGTCTATAGGACAGGGTGTAGGGGGTGTTACCTGGTCTGTGGTCCCCAGTGCGTGGTCAGACAGTAGGGGTCTATAGGACAGGGTGTAGGGGTGTTACCTGGTCTGTGGTCCCCTGTGCGTGGTCAGACAGTAGGGGTCTATAGGACAGGGTGTAGGGGTGTTACCTGGTCTGTGGTCCCCAGTGCGTGGTCAGACGTAGGGGGTCTATAGGACAGGGTGTAGGGGTGTTACCTGGTCTGTGGTCCCCAGTGTGTGGTCAGACAGTAGGGGTCTATAGGACAGGGTGTAGGGGTGTTACCTGGTCTGTGGTCCCCAGTGCGTGGTCAGACAGTAGGGGTCTATAGGACAGGGTGTAGGGGTGTTACCTGGTCTGTGGTCCCCAGTGCGTGGTCAGACAGTAGGGGTCTATAGGACAGGGTGTAGGGGGTGTTACCTGGTCTGTGGTCCCCAGTGCGTGTCAGACAGTAGGGGTCTATAGGACAGGGTGTAGGGGTGTTACCTGGTCTGTGGTCCCCAGTGCGTGGTCAGACAGTAGGGGTCTATAGGACAGGTGTAGGGGGTGTTACCTGGTCTGTGGTCCCCAGTCAGACAGTAGGGGTCTATAGGACAGGGTGTAGGGGTGTTACCTGGTCTGTGGTCCCCAGTGCGTGGTCAGACAGTAGGGGTCTATAGGACAGGGTGTAGGGGTGTTACCTGGTCTGTGGTTCCCCAGTGTGTGGTCAGACAGTAGGGGTCTATAGGACAGGGTGTAGGGGTGTTACCTGGTCTGTGGTCCCCAGTGCGTGGTCAGACAGTAGGGGTTTATAGGACAGGGTGTAGGGGTGTTACCTGGTCTGTGGTCCCCAGTGCGTGGTCAGACAGTAGGGGTCTATAGGACAGGGTGTAGGGGTGTTACCTGGTCTGTGGTCCCCAGTGTGTGGTCAGACAGTAGGGGTCTATAGGACAGGTGGAAGGGGTGTTACCTGGTCTGTGGTCCCCAGTGCGTGGTCAGACAGTAGGGGTCTATAGGACAGGGTGTAGGGGTGTTTACCTGGTCTGTGGTCCCCAGTGCGTGGTCAGACAGTAGGGGTCTATAGGACAGGGTGTAGGGGTGTTACCTGGTCTGTGGTCCCCAGTGCGTGGTCAGACAGTAGGGGTCTATAGGACAGGGTCTAGGGGTGTTACCTGGTCTGTGGTCCCCAGTGCGTGGTCAGACAGTAGGGGTCTATAGGACAGGGTGTAGGGGGTGTTACCTGGTCTGTGGTCCCCAGTGCGTGGTCAGACAGTAGGGGTCTATAGGACAGGGTGTAGGGGGTGTTGTTAACCAGGATAGTCCTGTCTTCTATCTGTAGGATCTGGATGCCATGTCTCACCACAGAGGACACGCAGAACTGACAAACCTATAGGGAGGGAGGGGGGACAGACACAGACGGAGACACAGACGGAGACACAGACAGAGTTAATACCTCCACATGCTTCCAGTCACTCACGTCTATCTGTAGTGTGGTTCTATGTGTTATTCAGCCTCGTTCATCCAAGTTAGTCTCAGGGTAGTGTGATAGCTGCTTTATTTAGGACGTTTTTACTTGTAATGACAGTGATATGTGGTTGTCTGACATGTACCTACCTTGTTGAATGTAAAGACAGTGATATGTGGTTGTCTTACATGTACTGTACCTACCTTGTTGAATGCACTGATTGTAAGTGTCTCTGGATAAGAGCATCTGCTAAATGACTCAAATGTTACATGTAGAGAAAGGTGGCTTGGGGAGTATGTAAGTATGGATGTTGGGCCCCTAACCTTCTGTCTTCCAGGGCTACTCCCCAGGGTGATCTCTGCCTCCACACAGCCCTCCTCATCCAGGGTGAGGACATCAGGACTGACACCCTCCTTCCAGCGCGGAGACGTCAGGTCATGGACCAGGTTCAGGGCTGTAGATTTATGGACCGTGTTAGTGTGGGCCCAGTAGATACCCAGCTGAAACGCCTCCTAGAGAGAGAGAGAGAAAGAGAGAGAGAGAGAGAGAGAGAGAGAGAGAGGAGGGAGGGGGGGGAGGGAGAGAGAGAGAGAGGGAGGGCAGGGTGGAGGGGAGGGAGGGATGGGGGAGAGAGAGGGGTGGGTGGAGGTGGAGAGATCACTGAGAGCGAGTGGAGGGGGAGGGAGAGGCAGATAGAGGATGGAGCCGAGGTTTCAAGTCAATCTGTGGATTATGATGTGAATACATTCAATCAGATAGAAGCGCCTAAAATACTTGATGTCTATCAGGGGACCTCACTCACTGAGGGGAAGCACACACACACTTAACACGCAAACACACACACACTCCCCTCTCCAACAAAGCCCAGCTCTCTGAGTCGGCCAGTGCCAGCTCCTCTCGGCCGTTACCTCATAAATCGCGGGTGCTATGGAAACAATGCTTTATTTGTTTCTGTTTCACAGACTATTACACATTTAGGGCTTTAAGTTAGTTTCCTGAATATATCAGCCTTTATCCTTTGATACCAGACAGACTACCAAGGTTTGAGGCAGGAACCCCTACAGACAGACAGACTTTAAACAGGAGAGATGGGCTGTGAGGGGGGACTCCTCTGCCCTGTGTGTGTGTGTGTGTGTAGTGAGTGAGAAGACATGTGTAGCCACTGAAGGCATGGTCCAGTCATCTCATCTAGACTAGAGGAAGGACTGACACTGAGCTCTGCTGGGCTCCAGTGTGCTCTACTGTGCTCTATTGGGCTCCACTGTGCTCTACTGGGGTTTACCAAGAATGGTGCAACAAACAAAAAACATCCAGTCAGCAGCAGTCCTGTGGGTGAAAACAGCTCGTTGATGAGAGGTCAAAGGAGAATGGCAAGAATGCCACAAACAGGCAAATAACGGCACAGTTCAACAGTGGTGTGCAGAACGGCATCTCGGAATGCACAAGTCGTCGGTCCTTGTCATGGATGGGCTATTGCAGCAGACGACCACACCGGGTTCCACTCCTATCAGATAAAAACAAGAAGAAGCGGCTCCAGTGGGCACGCCATCACCAACACTGGACAACTGAGGAGTGGAAAAACATTGCCTGGTCCGACGAATCCCAGTTCCTGTTGCGTCATGTTGATGACAGTCAGGATTTGGCGTCAGCAGCATGAGTCCATGGACCCATCCTGCCTGGTGTCAACGGTACAGGCTAGTGGCGGTGGTGTAATGGTGTGGGGAACGTTTTCCTGGCACAGGTTAGGTCCCTTGATACCAATTGAGCAATGTTTCCATGCCCCGAAGAATTCAGGCTGTTCTGGAGGCAAAGGGGGGTTTGACTTGGTGCTAGATGTACCTAATAAATTGGCCATATAAAATCTGATATAAGACCTGATATAAGACCTGCATAATTCTAGAATAATAATGGCAGCCATCTTGGTCAGTGATACATTCCAAACCAGTCTATAGAAATCTATGGTCTCTCCTCTCTCACCTTGAAGTTAGGAGGAACGATGGTCTTTCCAGCGGGTATCTGCAGGACGATGGTCTCTCCCTCAAACAGCCAGAGGTCCCATGTAGAGTGGTTGGTCAACAGGGCCCAGGGAATGAGCTCCACTAGCAGGGTGTTGAGACCTGGCCTCCAGGCTGACAACTTCACCTGCATGGGGCTGTCCCACTGGGCTAGGGCTTCTGATCCAGGCCTACAGTATAACACAGAGATATACAGTTACATACTGTAGCAACAACAACTATACAGCTCCACTAGCAGGGTGTTGACACCTGGGGCTGTTCCACTGGGCTGGGGGGGTGAGGGGCTGTTCCACTGGGCTGGGGGGTGAGGGGCTGTTCCACTGGGCTGGGGGGGGGTGAGGGGCTGTTTCCACTGGGCTGGGGGGTGAGGGGCTGTTCCACAGGCGTGGGGAGGTGAGGGCTGTTCCACAAGGGCTGGGGGGGGTGAGGGGCTGTTCCACTGGGCTGGGGGGGTGAGGGGCTGTTCCACTGGGCTGGGGGGTGAGGGGCTGTTCCACTGGGCTGGGGGGGGTAGGGGCTGTTCCACTGGGCTTGGGGGTAGGGGCTGTTCCACTGGGCTGGGGGGGGGTGAAGGGCTGTTCCAACTGGGCTGGGAGGGTGAGGGGGCTGTTCCAACTGCTGGGGGGTAGAGGGGGTGAGGTGAGGGGGGGGCTGTTCCACTGGGCTGGGGGTGTGAGGGGCTTGGTTTCCACTGGGCTGGGGGGGGGTAGGGGTCTGTGTTCCATCTGGGCTGGGGGGGTGAGGGGCTGTTCCCACTGGGACTGGGGGGTTGAAGGGGCTGGTTTCCACTGGGCTGGGGGGGGGGGTGAGGTGGGGCTGTTCCAACTGGGCTGGGGGGTGGAGGGGCTGTTCCCACTGGGCTGGGGGAGGTGAGGGTGCTGTTCCACTGGGACTGGGGGGGGGTGAGGGGACTGTTCCACTGGGCTGGGGTTGAGGGACGTTCCACTGGGGCTGGGGGGTGAGGGGTCTGTTTCCACTGGTCTGGTGGGGGGTGAGGGTCTGTTTACACTGGGCTGGGGGGGGGTGAGGGGCTGTTTCCCACTGGGCTGGGGGCTGTTACCACTGGGGCTGGGGGGGTAGGGGCTGTTTCCACTGGGCTGGGGGGTGAGCGGGGCTGTTCCACTAGGCTGGGGGGGGGAGTGAGGGGGACTTGTTCCCCAAGGGGGCTTGGGGGTGAGGGGCTGTTCCACTGTGTGTGGGGGGTGAGGGGCTGTTCCACTGGGCTGGGGGGGTGGGTGAGGGGCTGTTCCACTGGGCTGGGGGGTGGAGGTGGCTGTTCCACAGGGCTGGCTATCTGTACCTGGGGGTGTGCTTCCCACTGAGCTAGACTCCACTATACGAGTTCATGCACAATCACCATACATACCTAACCACGCTAACGGACCACGGACGCACGCCGGACAGTGATGCATAAGTCACACGGAACAACACTTATTATGCAATACAAACAACACAATCCAACAGCATCTGGGTACACAGGCAGTACCGTATCAGCACACAACACAACACACATGACCGCACACCACATGGAGACGCACAACACCATCAAACCCAAACACAACATCAAAAACCCACACACGCACGACACACATGGACCGCACACACCATCAACCCAAACACACAACAACAACACACATGGACCGCACACACACATGGACCGCACACACCATCAACCCAAACACACACCAACAACACACACGGACCGCACACACACATCAACTCAAACACACACCAACAACACACACGGACCGCACACACACATCAACCCAAACACACACCAACAACACACACGGACCGCACACAACACTCAACCCAAACACAACACCACCAACCCAACACACACACTATTAGGGGCAGATAAAAAGCTGTCAGCCTTCACTCGGGGTCATGTCATGGGGTCATGTTAACATCATGGCTCTGTCCTTCTCCTGCTGCACAGAGCCATATATTTAGACAGTAAAGATGCATTTACATGACTAGAACATTCTATGGCAGCCATGTTAGCTCCCATTAACATTACAAGGGGAGTGTTTTCAACAATGCTATGTAACTGAATGTCTATGTAACTGTTGACTGCTGAAACACTAACTCTACTGAACACTAAGGACTAATGGTTTCTGTAGTGAAGGTAGACTCCAGGAGGAAACCAGGTCCAGTTCCTGTAGTGAAGATAGACTCCAGGAGGGAACCAGGTCCAGTTCCTGTAGTGAAGGTAAACTCTAGGAGTGAACCAGGTCCAGTTCCTGTTGTGGTGGACTCCAGGAGGGGACCAGGTCCAGTTCCTGTAGTGAAGGTAGACTCCATGAGGGGACCAGGTCCAGTTCATGTAGTGAAGGTAGACTCCAGGAGGGAACCAGGTCCAGTTACTGTAGTGAAGGTAGACTCCAGGAGTGAACCAGGTCCAGTTCCTGTTGTGGTGGACTCCAGGAGGGTACCAGGTCCAGTTCCTGTAGTGAAGCTACACTCCAGGAGGGACCAGGTCCAGTTCCTGTTAGGTGACTCCATGAAGGCCAGTATTCCTGTGTGGACTCAGAGGGACCAGTCCGTTCCTGTATGAGTTGACTCCGGAGTGCAGGCCATCCTGTGAGGTGACCCAGGAGTGAACCAGTCCAGTCCTGAGTGAAGTTAGACCCTTTTCCGGAGGGGGGACTGCCATGTCCAGTTCCCTGTCGTGAAGGTGACTCCAGAGTGAACCAGGTCTCCAGTTCCTGTAGTGAAGTTTGGGCTCCAGGGGTTT